AGAAACAGCTTCGCTCGTGGCTGGCGCGTTGAAAAGTCCCGGATAGGTTTTGGGCTCCTTGAGCGTGGGTTTGGGCACCGGAGGTAGCGTTGGGAGGAGAAATTATTAAACGGGGGTGCAGGGACCGTCTGGAGGAGGGAAGAGGCTCTGCGAGGCCGCGCTCCGTGCCGGGCGCCCATCTCCTTTCAGTGGTGAGAAACCCACGTTTGAGGCTTTGGGAGCTCTGTGATTTCTTCATGAGATGAACATCTTGTTCCCTTGCTCTCAGGCACGCCATGGATACGACCGGCCACAGCGTCCTCCTCCTCCAGCAGCTGAACATGCAGCGGGAGTTTGGCTTTCTGTGTGACTGCACAGTTGCCATTGGTGATGTTTACTTCAAAGCCCACAGAGCGGTGCTCGCTGCTTTTTCAAACTATTTTAAGATGATATTTATTCATCAGACGAGGTAAGGACGCACAGCTCTCCTCCTACCTTTTAACTGCTCTGCTCAGCTTTCTGCTTTATCTCCTTTCTAAAGGTATTACGGTCCAAAAGAGCATAAGGGGGCATGTTAGGTGGCCTGAGATTATTTTCCTAACCCAGCACACGCCTCTGCTCTCTAAACATTCCCAGTCCAGAATGTGCTGTCCTTTAAAACCACCCCCTTAGTCAGCATACGCCAACATCAGGCCCCGCATTTTCAAGATGAGACATTTGTGTGAGCAGAGAAAGTAAACATGCAAGTACCACAGTCCTCCTGCAGCGAGACCTCACAGATTTGCAACCTAGGGATGTACAGGTACCTCCTGCCCGTACGCAGCGCCTCCATTGCTTTGCGTTAGCTTGTAAGCAAGCCTGCTGGGTGGGACTGTCCCTTCTGGCAGGATCCGTGGGCTTGACGCGATCAAGAAGCCGTAGCCTTATCACAATTCTGCGCTTCAGACTCTTGCAGATAAGGGCCAAGACTGAGATCATCAATTTATTTCGAGCTGCTGTTCAGGTGCTTCACCCAGCCAGGTCAGGAGTGGTTCTGCAGGTATAACGACGGCAGTGCCCAGGTCTAACCTCACCTCTGAGCTGGAGCTTGCTGCTTGTCGGCGATTAAACCCTTCTCCGTTCTCCTTCCTTTTTGAGGGTCGTGGCCCCCAGCGCCTTTGCAGGATCATCGTTAGCCGTCAGCCGCGTAGCCCTTCGGCTGCAAGGGAGAAGATCAGTTAACTTCCTTTCCGATAGATGTTGTTCGCTGACACTTAAGTGCAAAGCTCATAAAGATTACACAGTAGCAGCAGCTGAATTTATTACTTAAACACACAAATATTCTTTGCCTTGTATTATTGGAGCGGCACACACGGACGACGCGTAGCTTGCATGGCATCGCTGCGGTGCCCGGTGGCAGCAACTGGCTGTGCGTGTGAGTGACGGGGTGAGCGGGAGCTGGCTGCTCTCACCGTCCCCAGCTGCAGTTGTGTGCATGGTCTTTATAATCACAGGGATAAGTACAGGCTCAGGCACTTTGCTGTGCCAACAGGGCCCATGGGCTTCTGCAGGTCTTGGCGGGGAGCGCTGCTCGTTGTGAACCGGGGGCAGGCAGCAGTGCACATGCTCTAACAGCAATGACGGAGCAAATGTATGGGCAGGTAATGGATCAGGACTGTAATTTGGAGCCCTGTATGTACTTAATCATCTGTCTTGTTTCAGTGAATGCATAAAGATTCAGCCTACAGACATCCAGCCTGACATATTTAGTTACTTGTTGCATATCATGTACACTGGGAAAGGGCCAAAGCAGACCGTCAGCCAGAGCCGACTGGAGGAGGGCATCCGCTTTCTCCACGCAGACCACCTCTCCCATATCGCCATCGAGATGAACCAAGTGTTCTCCCCAGAGCCGGTCCAGTCTTCAAACTTATACGGCATCCAGATCTCAACCGCACACAAGCCGGCGAAGGAGCGCCTGGGGACGAAGGAGATCCTGAAGCTCTCAGTCTCCATAAAGCAGGAGAGGTGCGACTCGGAGCCTGTGGTGTCCCAGAGCTGCACCCCTCCTTCTCCGGAGGTAGCAAGCCCCATCTTTGCTAAGGCCAGCCTCAAGGTGCACTTGTGTCACTACTGCGGGGAGCGTTTCGACTCCCGGGGGGGGCTGCGGGAGCACTTGCACACCCACGTCTCGGGCTCGCTGCCGTTCGGCGTGCCGGCCTCCATCCTGGAGAGCAGCGACCTGGGGGAGGTGCAGCCTCTGGCTGAGGACAGGGAGGCTGGGGATGGCCACCGGCTCGGGGCCTTCCTCCTCAAGGAGGGCGAGCATCAGCTGGAGCGTCTGAGCTGCAGCGACCTGGAGCCGCTGCAGATCGGCCAGCTCTCCCTCATCTCCAAGGACCACGAACCGGTAGAGTTGAACTGTAACTTCTCTTTCTCGAGAAAGAGAAAAATCAGTTGCACTGTCTGCGGCCGCACGTTTTTCCGGAAGAGCCAGCTGCTCGAACACATGTACACACACAGGGGGAAGCAGCACAAATACAGCCGCTGCCAGCGGCTGGGGGGGCCCCGGGCCCCCCAGGTTTCATCCTTACTGTGACAGCGAGAGCATGGGGAAAAGCTCCAGTTTATCCCAAGACCACTTAGCTGAATGCATACTGGAGTCAGATCTCATCCAAGAAAGCGTTGATACGATCCTGGTAGAGTAGTTCTCCCCCAGTGTAGCCTTTAGGTGCTGAAACTGGATATTTTGGCATTTTCTGTCTAGTGAGTGGCTGCTCTCTGCAGCTGATTGTCTTCGCCATTCCCATCGCCTCCGAGATAACTGTGAAGAACTGCGCACTTAGATTCGTGTACTTGCTTGGTTTTTTTACTTCTCTAGCTTAAACTCAAGCTAATTCCCATCTTAAGTCCTTGGAAACCTCTGTGTAGCTCAGTTACATTTTTCATAAATGTAAACTTCTGCTCTGCTTTTCTAGAGTTAAGACTGTGTTGCTGGGTGTGAGGTTTAAACATTGTCTAATACGCTGCGCGGTGCCTAGGACTGTTTGTATCCCGTAGAATTGCTCTTCTGAAACTAGATGGAGGGAAATGTAGAGGGAAATATGTATTGTGTTTCCCAAACAGTTTGTTTTTGATTAAAATAAATATCTCAAGGAGATGAGTCCTGAAGTTCGTGTTGTATAACTGCAGTTAATAAATCTCCGCATAAGTACGTGCGGGAGCCAAGAGGCTGGTTTTTTCATGGGAACTGGTGGCATTGATGTAGGGGTGACAACCTTCACTTTGACGAGCCCTGGAGTCCTCAGCAGTACAATCTTTTAAATTCACTTACAGACTTGAGGGGTTTGCATGTGTTTTCCCTCATTCCTACTCCTCCCTTGTCAACCACTGCGTGAGCAGGAACAAATTTTGATGCCCCTCTAGGACCACGTCCCATTACTGGACTGTCTTCTCTGGACGGAAAAGCTGCAAGGAAGCTGCTCCTCTCTCAGAGAGGAGGCACTTCCTAATCTAAGTCTTTACAGGATTAAATGCCACACATGGACTTTCTCAGTGGAAATTAATTCTGACTCTATAAACAGCTTGGAGCAAACATATTCTTAAATATTACAATCTGTATATTTGCTAAGAGCAAATATGTGATGTGCTGCTACTTTTCTGCTTGTGGAGCCACCATAAAATGTTAAAATGCAAGCTTTTTGCCTTTTATTTATCATTACTTGATATCTGAAGAGTAATAACTTACCCACGAGGGGTTTGAAATTGCACGTGTTCCTCTTGGATTCGTATTTTGTCCCTCTCTAGTTTTTCACCTGAGCTACCCCAGGCTTGCTACCAGACGGTCTCCAACCCATCCCTCAAGAGATGCTCTTAATCAGAAGGCCCCAAAGAGGCACACGAAGTCCTTACAGTGCAGGGGTTTTCTTTCGCAGTGAAGAGCAAAAGCCTTGCGAGCTGCTCCCGTAATCTCATTACCCAGTTTTTGAGAAGCTGGCGGCTCCCTGCCAGTCCTGGTGGAGTTGAGTCATTGCCTTCGGAAAGGGGGAGCCTGAACAATGGTGAGAACAGTTTATTGTCAAAATGCCTGCTCCAAAGCTCTTTGTAGTCAGGACCCTTGAGCTGTCTTCTTTGAAACTGTCCTGAAGCAAGAGCTGCAATTAAATCGCTGCCGAATTAAAAGACCATCTGAGGTCTTTGTAAGGGCGGCCGCTGCTTCTCCTGGGCAGGGAGCTGCACACTCCAGGGGATGGATTGGCCACTGAGGGCTGCCAAATTGTGTTTTAAGACAAAGGGGAAAAACAAACAGCCTCTGAGCCTGCCCGGGTGATGTTACAAAATGCACGCTGCGGTTTGGTGTGTGCTTGCCCGCGAGACTGAGCGCTCCTCTCGCTGCGCGTACCCATTAAAGCTGCTCTGGTGTGAATGCATTTTAACTCTGCTTAAAAAGGCTGTCTTTAAAACAAGCAAGCAAACAAAACCCAGCCGACATCCAGGCCTGCAAATGCTGCATCTGAGCTCGGAGCGACTCTCATGGAGCGTTTCCTAGAAGAGGGCCTTCTGGGTCTCTCCCAGGCTAACAGCACCAGCTAAATCACATCCAGCACAGGCTGCTTGGAACTGAGGCAAATGCCCTTCGGTTTCCACTGACCTCTGTTTCTACAGGATGGTTAAAAAAAAAAAAAAAAAAGATATTTTATAGTCATTCCTTATATGTGTGCGACACTTTACTGGGTGGGCTGGCTTCTCTGGGTGCTGCGTGCTTCACTTGGGTTCCCACATTTAATTTAAGAACAGAGAGGAGTGTCTGCTGGGTTGGGTATAGCGGTAGAGAAGAGCTAAAAGTGTGTTTTCAGACCATTGGGTCCGTAGATAAGCACCTTAGAGCTTCGACTAGTTGCCTAACTTGCCTGAACTAATTGATATTGAAAGTCAAAGGGCCCTTGATGTCTCTGCAAAGATAACCGGGCAGTGGTAATTGAGCTCAGTATTGGGGACAGCAAGCAGCAGTGCCCGAAGGCATCTCTGGGACACGCTGCTCCTCCTCAGGCTTGTGGGCAGGATTGTTTTCTTTGCTTCTTGGCCATTAAAAGGGAGCTTTAATAAAAACTATGAACTCGGGTAGAAGATCCAGATGTCCTCTTGGATTGGGGCTTTGGAGGTGTCCCTGCCCATGGCAGAGGGGTTGGAACCAGATGATCTTCAGGGTCCCTTCCAACCCAAATCGTTCTACTATTCTATCAGCTCTATGTGTGTTGTAGGAGTGACTCCCTTGTACTGACTGCAAATACATCAGCAAAGCTGAAATCATACTGAAATCAGTGCCGTGTTCATCTACGTGTTCAGTATGTCTCTGAAAAGTTACGAGCGTAAGCGATTTTTCTTTTTTACATCGTCACACCCCTTTTTGGGGTGTACTTTGGTTAAGCTTGTGGTACTGAACATCTGTGACATCAAACATCTGTGAAAGGCATTTTTTGCATCATTTGCAATACAAGAAATGCATTTTCAGCAGTTTTCTACTGCAAGCGTTAAAGTGCTGTTATAATTAAAGCCGTAGAAAAAGCTTGAGGGAAGTCGTCAGCTCCGAGCTACGTTAACTTGAAAACATAATTCTCTCTAAGTCTTATGAATAGAAAATAATTTTAGAAAATGGTTATGTTTGCTAGGCAAGGGCAGCAGGATACATCATAAGAAGTTATATTACTGTACGTAGAAGACACTCAAATTACTGAGCGCTTAACCTTTATACTGGTGCATGCTTGAAAATCTGCCTGACTTGCACAGCTGGGCTTGGCAAAAGTTCATTTCTTGCGGGTTTTTTTTTTCATGAAAACACAAAAGAATTTGTCACAGTGTGCAGAATAATGATAGTGGTGATTCCTTCCAGATATCTGCACTAGGCTGATAGGCAAAGTAAGCCCCAGGGTGGCGATACTTGAGGGCTGGAAGTCTGAACACTCCAGGGGATCCCCAGAGCTTTGCCCTGGGCTGGGAAAGGGTCCCAGCACCAAGGGTGCAAAGCTGATGAACCCCAGGCATTGAAGTACCTGGTCTGTGGGCTCTGCAGCTCATGTTTTATGAAAGCATGGGAAGATTGTGACTCAGACCCTTCCTCGGCCAGCTCAAGTTAACCTCTGAAATGCCAGTAAGTACTGCAGTGGCTACCATCACTTTCATATATATCTGGGTGCTGGCCTGAGTATGCCACCAGTAGGTTCGGTGGCTTATAGACCAAAGCATGCTAAACAATTTCGAGATTGGTATTTTGAAACATTTTTAGTGCTCTGACACTGAACAGGCCAGGTCCAAGAGGGGCCATGCTTAGGGTGCAGTAAAGGGTGTGGAATAACGGGTATTTATCTGCCCTTCCACCATGGGGTCTGGTTATTTCTGCTGAGAAACTTGCTTTTCACCACCTGCAGTGCTGGCTGGAGATACCATTTGGTAGCATGTGTGCAATGAAAGCCTTAGGCTGAACTTCTGCATTCCCGGTGCCAGAGGAGCAAGGTCTTTGATGCCGGTTACTTGCACAAGTTGTCCTTAAAAGGTAACCTGTCCCCTCTCAACGTTCACCTGCAAATGTTCATATTTTCACCGTTTCCACCTTGAATATTTGGGCAGCTGGGGGAGAGCGATGCTGGCACTTGCCTGCTGGCTGCCCAGGAGGCAATGCTGATGGCTGGGCCATGCTCGCCCCATCTCTACACCGGGTAAAAAACCCCCTTCAGCTCATTTTACCTTCTGCACAGGCTGGGGTTACAACACGTGTCCTCAGCCGCCTGGCTGCACCAGCCAGTCGCGCAGGCCCTTTGCTTGTATGTTGTCTGCCAAAATCACTGCACGTCACTCGCATGTCGAATCACTGCAAAATAGGGCGGCAGCAGCACACAGGGGGTGCAGGAGGGCTGACAGCCCGTCCGTGGGTGCAGCACCCCTCACCAGAGGGGTTTAGGACATTTGTGCACACTGAGAAGCTTAAAAAGGGAAAAGAAATTTGCTGTCAGGATGTAAACCTGAAGCAGCAAGCATTGCAGTTAAAAATAACACCATGAAATACCTCTATCATGAGCTTTCTAGAAAAAAGAGTGTAATGCTGATGTTGAATAGTTTTCTACTATTTTGGAGGCAGAAGGTATAAACCCCGTGTAAGCGAAGCCTTCAGCAGTGCAGTAGAAAGGGATCTCAGCGTGCGCAGTTCAGCATCACTGAACGGGACCGCGAGCTACCAGCGGCCAAGGCGGGAGGTTTCTTCTTGGCTTGTCAAAGCCTTCCCATGGCAATCTGCCAACAGCAGGTCACGCCATACTGCTGCAATCAGCTTCAGCTTCGCTGTTTAATAAAACCCAGCCTTTTCGTTCCCCCTCCTGCCACGGCATGCCAGAAAGGACTGCTACTGAGTGTGCTTCCCAGCAGCTCAGCACTACGAAAATACATCCTGAGCAGTAAGAAATCGGGATGAAAAAGGTAATGAGGATGGATCTGCCCTAAATTACATGCCAGTCAGATATTTACAACCGGAGCTGTGTCAGGACTGAATTCCCCAAGATGCAATCACAGCGTTTACAGGATTTGCATGTTTCATTAAGAAAAAGTAATGACACAACTTCAAAAGCAGCCCAAGAGAGGAAATGTTTCCACTAACTGTTTGAAACCAGACGCTGCACCCTCATAACAAAGGTGCAGCAAAGCTCGAAACCTTCTCTGCTGAATTAGGCTGGTTTTTACCTGAGCTGAGATGCCCCTGGGCAGCTTTGCAGGGCTCCGGGCAGCACAGCAGCCCGCGTGTGGCTTTACCTTCCCGGGATGCATAGGGCAATGCTGCTAAAGGCTTCCAGTGGCAGTCAGGCACATTTTAGTCCATGCTAACCCTCCTGTTACTGGGACAAATGGGGTAAGAAAATGTGGTGTAAAGCTCTCTGTCCCTCCTGACGCTGGATTTGCAACCCACAGGTTGCAGGATGTAAAGCCAGCTATGGGGACCTGGGCAGAGAAAGCAGGGCCGCAAGCCATCGGGGGCGATGCAGGGGAAGAAACCTCCTGGTAGGCAGAAGCGCGGTGTCCCACGGTAGCCAGAACGGTC